GAAGGAAGGAAGGAAGGAAGGAAGGAAGGAAGGAAGGAAGGAAGGAAAGAAGGAAGGAAGGGGGTGGGTTAGAAGGAGGGAGGGAGGGGGAAAAAGGAAGGAAAGAAAGGGAGGGAGAAAGAAAGATGAGAGAAGAGAGAGAAGAGGAAGATGAAAGAGAAAGAAAGAAAGGAATGAAGAAAAGAGTGTCAAAACAAAGCATTGATTTTCACTTCAGTCCCCCAAACAAGAAGAATCTCACCGGATGGGTTTGCTTGGTCCTTCTGGGCCGTCCAGCTCATATGAGTAAACGTTGTCCCATCTAAAAATCAGGTTCCAGTCAAAAGCTCCCCTTACAATAGGTGCCGCTGTATAATCCAGTGTCATGGCATTGATGGCATCAATCACAGGGCACACCACCATTTTGTGGTCCTTAGCAATGGCATGCAGCAAGGGCTCCAGCCAGACTGTATTCACCTCACAGTGGCTATCCAAGAACACCAGGATGTCTCCTGTGAAGGCGAAAGCAGACTAACATTGGTTCTCGACTTAGTTAGGTTTACTGTTGCTTTGATGAAATACCATGACTAAAAGCAACTTGGGAAGGAAAGGGTTTATTTGGTTTCCACTTCCATATCATAGTACGTCATTGAAGGAAGTCAGGAAAGGAACTCAAGCAGGACAGGGACCTGGATGCAGAAGTGCTGCTTACTGGTTTGCTCCTCATGGCTTGCTCAGCCTGCTCTCTTACAGAACCCATGACCACCAACTCAGAGGTCGTGCCATTCACAATGAGCTGAGCTCTCCCACATCAACCACTAACTAAGAAAATGCTCTAAGGACTTGCCTAAAGCCCTTACAGAGGTCTTTTCTCAAGTGAGGCTCCTTCCTCTCTGAATACTCATGCTTTTGTCAAGCTGACATAAAACTAGCCAGCATGTCCCCTGGAGGAAATATATTCAGTCTAAATGCATGCTGGATGCAATGAGTATTCATTGACTGTTTACTATGTGCATTGAGGGAAATGAGAAATACGTCTTTTATTGTGCCCAAAAAGGTGGGACCCCGTGTGCTGTAAGTGTTCTTAGGAGGTTAGAGGATGGCTTAGAGAAAACTCTAGTGGAGCATGTACATCTGAGAAGAGCTTTTCTTTTCAAAGATCTTTTCAGGAGACTGGACGGGTGGCTCAGTTATTAAAGTGCTTGCCTTACAAACCTGAGAGTCTAAGTTCAATCACTATTACATTAAGAAAAAAAGTGAAGCTATCTGGGACTGGTGACCTTTCCTTACAATCCTAGCACTTCGGGGTGGGAAGCAGGTGTACACCCCATGGTAGGCTAGCCACTCAGCCAGGCTGCTTTATGAATTCCAGGTCAGTGAGAGAGCCTGCCTCAAACAAACAATCGTGATGGTGCCTGAGAAATGATGCCTAATTTTTGCCTCTAATTCTTTGTTTCAAGACACAAGAACCTGGAAACCTCAGTGTGTGCCGTCTGGACTCTAGTTCACACCTGAAACGGGGCAGAGGCACAGGAGTTTGCCCTTCTTAAGCAGCCATTCCCATTATCCTATGCTTTGCTTTTTATGATTTCAGGTCCTGGGATCAGCTGAAGTCTACCGTGTCTTTCTTGCAAAGACAGGCGAGGTACCCTCAGACTGTGAGTCACATGGGCCTTTCCTACTTGGTGACAGCACAAGAAAAGTCATTAACACTCTGGCTCAAGGCCTGGAAGAATGTTCATACCTGAAGCACGGGAGGCGCCGATCATCTTTGATCTAATGAGACCCTCTCTCTTTTGGTTTCTTACTACTTTAATCTTTCCGCGAAAAAGTTCAAGCTGATAGTCCAATTTTTCTTTCAAATCACCTGGAAAAAATATTTGACACTTGACAATTTATAAACTGCAACTATAGAAATCCAAACATTGTCATTATGACCAATTCCTTCCTTCCTTCTTCCTTCCTTCCTTCCTTCCTTCCTTCCTTCCTTCCTTCCTTCCTTCCTTTCTTCCTCCTTCCTTCCTTCCTTCCTTCCTTCCTTCCTTCCTTCCTTCCTTCCTTCCCTCCCATCTTCTTTCTTTCTTTTTTTCTTTCTTTCTTTTTTTTTATTTTTCAAGACAAGGTTTCTCCGTAGCTTTGGAGCCTGTCCTGGAACTTGCTCTATAGATCAGGCTGGCCTGGAACTCACAGAGATCGGCCTGCCTCTGCCTCCCAAGTGCTGGGATTGAAGGTGTGCGCCACCATGACCTGGCATGACTAATTTATAAAAACCTACCATTGCACAGATTTTAATGTGGCCCTGTTTAGCGTCCAATCCACACGAAAAATGGTTCATAATCAAACTGTATAGTTTTTGTGCTTCTAGTGATATATCTCTGCTTCACTACATCATTATTAAAATTTACTAAGCTGGGCGGTGGTGGTGCACACCTTAATCCCAGCACTGGGACACAGAGGCAGGCGAATTTCCATGAGTTTGAGGCTAGCCTGGTCTACAGAGCAAGTTCCAGGATAGACTCTAAATCTACACAGAGAAACTGTGTCTCAAAAAAACCAAAATAAATAAATAAAAATTACTACATCATTATTAAAATTTAGTAGAAAAACGTGTAGGTTATAAGACTTTTGGTATAACCTGATTTTACTACTAACTACATAAATTGTACTGTGTTTAATTTTCCTTCTAATTTTGTGTGACTTGAAGGTGAATTATCAAACCAAGCAAGTTCAAGAGCCACCTACATCCATTCCTTCAAGCTAAGAAAGTCCATTGGCTCTGTCTTGTGGGTATGTTAAGGAAAGACAGGTTTCAGTTCAAAATTTGTTATTTAATTCATGGTAAAGTTGCTCTGAATTAAAGTAGGAATATTTTAGCCGGGCGGTGGTGGCGCACGCCTTTAATCCCAGCACTCGGGAGGCAGAGGCGGGCGGATCTTTGTGAGTTCGAGGCCAGTCTGGTCTACAAGAGCTAGCTCCAGGACAGGCACCAAAGCTACAGAGAAACCCTGTCTCGAAAAAACCAAAAAAAAAAAAAAGTAGGAATATTTTGATCCTGAGTTCCATAGGAACACAACACTCTGCATCCTGTGTTTGAGGCTCTACATGAATCCAAGGCTAATGTCAAGGAATGGTAGAGATGCTTGGTCTGGCAGCATACTTGGGTCTTGACCACCACTAGGGACCCTCTTGGTCTCTTTTGAAGGGGACTAAAATGCAAGATGTATATGTAAGAAGGTCAATAGAGATCACGGACTGGTCACCAGCTTCAAATGCATAGCATCTAGGAGTAGGGACTTGGGAAGTATTAGATCATGACCCCACTTGAACCAAAGAGGATGGAACAAAAGAGCATCAATGTAAAAAAGTCAAAAGAACGCTGTTACCAACCTGGTCTTGTTGGCACCCTGGTCTCAGATCAATGTTTGTTGCCCAAGCCACTTTATCCAACTGACAAGAGACCAACATGTCCCTAGACTCTTGGTGCTGCGCTGAAAGGCTGGCAGACACGGTCACTCCTGGAGCTGCATGCCCAGTGTGGGATTTGTGAACTTCTGAGTAAGAAAGCAGAACTCCTCTGGCCAGTAGGTGCACCTGCACCCTGCACCCAGCTTTACTGAGAATTCCTGAGCAGCAAGCTGTAGACATCTCAGCTCTACCGAGCAGATAAGGTAGTGTGGGGGAAGAGAGCAGCACCCATCTCATCGACAAGACTCAGCTGGTAATGACTCCTATGGAAATGTCATGTGATAGGCTCCTGGCCAAATCACATAACTTCCATAGTAACATTAGCTTGGGTCACACCCAGAGCAACCTCATGTCACTCCCACAGGGCGGCCCTCCTGGATTATCTTTTCAACATACCTTTTTCCTGAGGGGCTGTGGTGGCACACGCCTTTAATCCCAGCACTCAGGGAGGCAGAGGCTGGTGGATCTCTGTGGGTTCAAGGCCAGCCTCGTCTACAAGAGCTAGTTCTAGGACAGGATTCCCAAGCTACAGAGAAACCCTGTCTCGAAAAGCCAAAACCCAACAACAAAACAAAACAAAAACAAAAAAACTTAAAAACAAACAAACAAAAAAACTATACCTTTTCCCTTTTAAGTTCATCATAGACTAGCTTCCAGTGGGTTGGGTGACTTTGCAGGTCTGAAACCTACCCAATATTGACATTATTCGGGCACTCCTGGCTTGCCTAAGGTTAATAATCAGTTGTAAACAGACAACCAATTTCAAAGCCAATGCAGAGGTAGCTAGACTTTTGTTCTAATGTCTTCATCCTATCTTAAGAAGCAAGCATAGAGGTATCATTGCTTACTTGCAGTTGGCTTGAGTTCTTTCCTGTGAAGTTCCTAAATTAGGTCATCTCCCTATGTTAAGCCCTGACTTGCTCTTCATATTCATCCATCCATTCATATTTTTGAACAAGGTAGCTGTTTAAAATGTTCTCATACAGTTCAGATTGGCTTTGAACTTGCTTTGTAGCCAAGGATAACCTTGATCTGATCCTCTACTCCTACTTTCACCACCACACCCAGATTATGCATCTCGGATTGAATCCAAGGCCTTCTGCGTGCCAGGCAAACACTCCACCAACTGAGCTACATGGCCATAACTTCCCATGTTCTCATGATTAAATTCCGAAAATGCCCTTCGTGAGTAGTCGCTTTTAAAGAAGTCCAGCTTCACGCCCTTTTCCTAGCCCTTCCAACTCTGCACTCATGCATAAACTTCATAAAATGCTGAAGTATCCCATGCTCACCCTGATTTGTCTCATCTTGGGCCTTTAAAGTGCCATTTCTTTCACTTAAAATATTTTTTTCTTCCTAACCATTTGGGCAATCCCAGCCTATCTGTGCCTCTTCCATGTAGATGGCACTTCTTTCTGAAGTGATCCCTAAAGTCAAGGCAATGCCCCTGTGCTAACTTCATAGACATCATGCCAGGGCCTGGGTCATTCTTTCTCACCATATGCAGTGAGTGCATCAGGTATAGTATCTCCCCCAACAGCTCCTAGAAACATCCTCTATGTGAAACATGCAAGTGCCAAACCGTGCATGGGGAATCTCGCTCATGAATGCAGCGCTTTGAAGGTGAAGACAAGAGGGTCAGGAGTTCAAGGTGGGCCTAGCCTGGGCTAAGTGACCATTTCCCCAAAACAAAATAGATCTCAAGTATCACTCGGAAAGAATGCCCCCTTCCAGACATATAGATGTCACTGTTTGTCACCTTCCAGACAGATAGATAGTCACTGTTTGTCA